TGCCTGCCTGACTGCCGTGCAGATTCTGCTAGGGTGTATCCCTAACAATCCCAATTGCTTAATAAAGTACAAATGAACATGTGTGTTTCTTTTTAAATCACTGGATTCCTGGTTCAAAACTTATCAGAAAATGACATTGATTCATTTATGACAGGATATGTAAAGGAAGAGCAAAATGAATCGTTTGAGTCTGTTAGCCAAGCTCATGCTTAGAGCATGATGCCAACCTTAATGTTCCATCTGAACCACAATTTTTGCTTCACATACTGCCTGATACAATGCAAGCAGATGCTAAAACTAAACATGAGAGAAAATATCTGCTGCATATTTTCTTGGAGACTGCAGGATCGTGTATATGGCTCAGAACTATGCTTTCCCACCCTTTGCAGACTGTTTTTGAAAAAGAAAAACATTAGATAAGCAACCTGGAAGTCATAAATATAGCAGAATTGACAGGTTGTTATTTTGCAAAAGACATGTTTTTAACAAAGCTTTCCAAGGTGCCCTCTAGTTGGTTGAATGTTATTTTTAAAAAATTTAAAATGATGAAATTTCTTTTTTTTTGGAAATAAACTGACCTCATGTGAACAGAGGTAAAATCTGTTTTGTGAAAAGATAAATTCAAATTATTTTGAATTAATATAAGTAATGCCCAAGGAGAATTGAAGGAAAGTACTTTCTTTCTTGTAATTTTAACTCATTCCGGGTTATTGGGTACTGTCTTCATGAGTCAGTTGATACAGTTTAGCACAGTTGTGAATCTGGGATCACAGTATTTATTGTTTAGATATTTAATTCATATTTTCAATTTTTCAGAGGAAAACTATGGTTAGAATTAGCTGTCTAATAAAATGTTTGTGACCTTGATAGCATTTTGTTAAAACACACATTTGTGTAATACTGTCTAAAGGCACTCCTACTGGTTAGTGTAATCCTATATAATAGTTGTAATGAAAATGTATTCAGTGGTTGCAAGCTTCAAAGGCATCTGTCAGAAGAAGTGACTTCTTTAGATATATGAAATTACACTTCCCATCAACTGCAACTCTTTATTTTTTTCTACCATTGATAACAGTCTACTAACCATCATATCTTAGTTGTTATTTGCAATATATGCCCCATTTCACTGTTAGTCTTAACTAGCAACATATTGCGGTTTTTCTGTTTGATATTATTTTTAGTAATATAATTCCTAGAATAAATAATTTGGAATACATAAATGCCTAGTTGTGGTTAAGCAGTGGCTTGATTTACTTATCTTTCCTCTGTCTCATTTCCTGTCTTGAAATGAAAGATGTTAGAAATATTTTGTCTTTGACACCTTGACTGAATTAATCTAATCAAATACACCTTAGTGGTATATTTTCTTTATTTCCACCATATGAATATGAAAGAAGTGCTAATGATATTTCTATTTTTGAACACATATGCTGAATTATAAGTCATCACTGTTATGAAGTTATAGACATTACCTCCCATCTCTTTAATTCCAGAGCTCATTCGGAAAATGATAGCTCTTCTATCCCATCTTCTGACTCTTGTATCAGTCCTACAAAATTGGATTTGGCATACAGTAAAACTGCCAAGCAATGTCTCGAGGAAATATCTGGTGAGTAATATATAATCATTGCTTAATAGTGATATATTTCTGAATTATTATGGCCATTCTTAAATAGAGTCCAAATATTTATGTTGTTAAATGAGACATTTGTTAAGTAAGTTTTGCCCCATTTTATGAACTTTATTGCCACAATTGTTAAGTGGATCATTGAAGGTATTAAATTAGTAACTTCATTATTAATTGAATCTCATTTTCCCATTGACTTTGCTTATCAGAAGGTTGTAAAAGTTAATCACATGATTTCAGGACATTGCAACCATCATAAACATGGACCGGTTGCCAAGCATGCGAGTGTTGATCATGTGAACATAGGGATGCTGCAACAGACATAAATGTGAAAGACAGTCATAAATCACTTTTTTCAATGCCATTGTAACTTTGGTCAATAAATAAACTGTTGTAAGTTGAGAACTACCTGTAATGCCGTTCCTCTATAATTTTGGCTTCAGCTGCATGGCTTAAAAATAATCCAAAATTATCATAACACTCTTGACTTTTTCATTGTATTGTTTGTTTTTACCCTTTTAAAAAGATAAGAAATTGATTCCCATACAATTAATCAGATCATAATTAAAATTGTCAGGGACAAAGACCAATTTAAAACTAAAATTCTATTTCCTTCCATCTAACTGCTTAAATGTTGCACAGTTTTATGGACAAAGGATTAAATGAAGGACAATGTAAGCAACAACTAATCATTAATTTCAATAATATAAATCCACTTTGATATTATTTCTTGAAGAAAAATTCTTCAGAATAGATGTCTGAAACAATTACATTAATATAATTACTTTCCAACTTTATAGTAATGTATAGGATTAAAAATTCTCATCATTTTCCAAACCATTGTTTTTTTGCGTCTTATAAATTATCTCTACTTCCTGGGACATTCGTGTGGTCTGTGGAATTCTTGATGCTCTCTGAGCTTTGTGGCTTGCTTGCAAATATTTAATCCGCTAAGTCAGAGTTCTCCAACCTTTCTAGGTTGGAGACCCAAAGCAGGGGGGAAAGGAAAAGAGAGGATGGAGGCAGGCGCATTTGTGAGCACCTGTTGCTTGCATGAGTGGGGCTGGGAGCATCCGCAATGCTGGTGCTAGTGGGGCTATGTGCACCCACACCCACACACATGCACTTGCACCAACCAGCCACACACACAGCCTGGTTGTGAATAAGCCATGGACCAGTAGTGTGCTGTGGCCCGTAGGTTGAGAACTCAGTATGAGATATTACTTCCATATGTTGCAACTGAAATTTGGAGAAGTAGTAGCATAGTGGCACAGGTGAAGACTTTCACCTAAATCAGGCAGATATGCTTTCTAGAACTGAGTCTCTGTATTTTTATTTGCACAATTATAAAAAGAATTCTGCAGAAAAAAATACAGAATTATCAAAAAATGAGAAACTGCTATATGAGCAGGGGCTAAATTACCTTTGACTCTTTGTTTTAAAAAGTCACTACACATGAACACAATAGATTTTAATAATTTGTACTGTGAAAAACTAGGATGTTATTCCTTTTATATTGTACAAGAATTAGAGGAAACTAAACAGTAGATTTCAAGACAGAAATTAGCAAGAGGAGCTATTACCTTCAAACTGTGTTTGTGAGTTTCCATGGAAATCTGCTTGGCCTTTTTATATGGATTTAATTAAAAAAAATCATTAAAATATTTTGTGTCTTCAAGTAGGTAGTTTTATTAATATGTCTGCATATACTAGTATGCTAATACATTAGGATTTCAAGCCAATGTTATTTTCAGTGACATATATAAGAATGAAATTTGAAAAAAAGAGGAATTCAATATGTCTAGCACAATTATATTTTGGTGGATCTTATTGCTACCTTTATTGTCAAAGTACAACATGAGTACAATGAGATTGGCTGAACCTTCCTTCATGCACTCCCCCGCCCAACACAATTCACAGTGAGGACAGAAGTCCCTAACCCAGTCCCAATCTTATTACACTATGTGACCTTGTTGCACAATGCGCCGGCGCAAAACGTAGTTATCGAACCAGTAGTACCACCAGTTGAATCCCACCCCTGGTGCTATGACATTTACATGCTCTGTTAGTAGACATTAATATTGGACGGAAGCTATCATTTTGTTTTTAGTTTATATATTGAACAGTTTCATTGTTTTTCTCTCTGTATATTCCGCAGCTGAAACCCATTAAAACATAAAGAAAAGTACTGACTGTTTTGCCTGCTGCTTTGCACAAAATTCACCCATGGTTAATTGACCTTGATTTTTTTTCATGAGCCTGATATATATGTGTGTGTGTGTGTGTGTGTGTGTGTGTGTGTGTGTGTTTGTGTGTGTGTGTGTGTGAAAGAGAGTGAAAGAGAGAGAGAGAGACAGAGAGACAGAAAGAGAGAGAGAAAGGCTGGCAGGCAAACAGATAGTAAAAATGTATATTTGTGTGGATGATGTTGTAATCCAACGTCAAAAATAATTTCTTCTATACCTTGGAAAGATGAGCTTTTTTTCTTTAAAAAGTTTTGCATTTGTATTCATTATTGCTTCAGTTCTTTAATTTATTACTGTGCCAGCACCAGTGCTCAACTTCTATCTACTATAAATGAGTGTCTATTGAAATATTATGCTATGCAGTTATATTCTCTTATTTGAGAAAATATGCTACAATGTTGTGGATTTAGCTATTATTTATTCAACCCAGACGTGTGTGTGTGTGTGTGTGTGTGTGTGTATAGCACTATTTTTGATTAAAGGCAATATTCCAGTAATATATAAGTACCTTGAAATACATTTGCAAATTTTAGATATTTAGTGGTCAACTCAGTCATATATATTTTTCAAAACAATATATAATTTGTGTTATAAATTACCCCCCAAAAAACAAGTTTTGGTTAATTACACATTTCTATCTTTTATACTTGCCAGATGGAGCCCTAATTGTGCCTTTATACTGCAGATGGATAGAATGCTTGATGAGGATCTATAAAATTTAATTTTTTAAAAAATATTTGCAATAGTTCATATATCTTGACAGAAGCAACATGCTCCATTGAGTCATATATTTTATTTAAGACCTTATCTGGGTAACAGAACAAAAGTTATAGTCTAAATAGAGTAAGATTTGAAGCAGAATAGCTGCTTCAAATGTTCTAAAATTCTCTGCAAGAAGAAATCCCAAAACCACTGTCATTTTGGAAGATATATTGCATTTTATGAATTATGATTGAATGCAATTAATTCATAATCTAGTTGTTTCATCTAAACTATATAACATGAATACAAAAACTATCCATGAATTATATACATGATTTTCTGTATTATTGCAAATTAATATAGGTATGTTGCTTCTCCCGTCATGTTTTTTGGAAAATACCAAGATCACACGTTATATCTAATATCTTTAAATTGGGAAATTTATTATTAGAGTCAGAACTAATCAAAATGCAAAGCATGGTTTAAGCAAGTTTAAATGGTATTTTAAGGCTGAAGCTAGCAAGTTAGAATGTTCAGTAGAATAGAGATTTATAATTGTACCTGGTCTGAGATTTGGTAGGAAATTGGTACACACTTCATATTATAGGCTAGGTATGTACATGCACCTTGGGATAAAGCCAACATTTTTTTGGTGAAATTATGCAATTTTTCAAAAAGTTAATAAAAATTCATTATATCACTTTTTTATTTGTAGGAACATTTTTATTAGCATTATTTTTGTTCTGGAAGGTTTGTATATCTATAAGTGAGGCTGTTACAAATGTATTTCAGCTTGTTAGATAAGATTTATTTTTAAATTTGGGCTAAAGATTAATCAAAAGTAATCTTAAATCACATGTGCATCCTTTCATATCTCATATATATCTATGCAGTTTTTAGCTGAAAGAGAAGTATATTGTCTCTTCTTAAGGTACCTTTATGCATATGTATTTTACACAAATCTGTATACTTTGCCCCCCTACCGAAAATTTCTACTTTGGGACAGTTTCACCCAACATTGATCCCCCCCCTCTGATTTAAAAAACTTATTTTTTCTTAACAGTTCTAATTATTTCATAATAAACTATTAGAAATTAAAAGCTCTACTGTATCAGAAATTAAAAGCTCTACTGTATAAAAGGAACAAAGTCGTTTTCTCTTTCTAGCATTTCCAAATAAAGGTATATTGCTTTTTCTTTATTCTCTATTACACTATAGGAAGAGACTTGTTCAGTATATTGCAAGATTCCAGAGCCACTTCAACTTTAGGAAGGAAGGAAAGAAGGAAAGCATTACAGGGTGTTAAGTGTTCATCCCATTTAGCTTATGCTGTATCCTTACACTCAGGATTTGTAGAATTGCAGAGGGCTGGGTCCTTCTGTTTTAATTTGCCAGGCTGTTTGCTGCCATGGCAGCCAGCAGCATTCACTGCAGTTACAGAGAAAAGCCATAGATCTGGGAATGCACGTTGAATACTAAAATGCAGGGAAGCTTTCACAGAGCTTTGCTTCCTTGGTTAATTTGAGCCCTGACGTGCTTAGCTGCAATTATCAGCCATCCAAAGTAAAGATCTGCATGCAGGAATCAGTCATGATCTGGTGAGGGAGCCTGGGAGAAGACAGTCATCGGCACTTGCAGTTTACTTTTGGATTTCAGAAAACAGCAGCCACAGAGAGTGATGCAGTCCTATCAATCTAAAGGAGAATGATGATTGGATGATAAGAGGGAAACATCACCGCCTTTTATGTTTATTTCTGTGCTGGAGTAGATTGTTTAAGCAACTCTCTTCTGCTTGAAAGAAATTCCTCTAAAATTATTATAACATTGCAGATTAACAGGACTGGAAAAGACTAGCTTAGCATGGAAAGAATCAAAATGACTGTGCCTGTCTAGTCTTAATAGCCTGCACTCTGGAATGCTTATGCTGTGTTTTTTTGACACCGGAGGAATAAGGGCATGTAAACTGGGTACTGCTGAAAGGTTAGTTCTATTGCTGAAAGATCCTGCCTTCTCTGCAGCTAGAAATGTGAAATC